CGTCATTGTAAAAAAAGGAAGGTAAAATGTGAGTATTCGGACAACGGTTCATGCAAACTATGTGTCAATTTAGGTTTTGAATGTTTATTCGAACAACAACAAAAGAGAGGACCTAAACCTGGTAAAAAAGTTAAATCGAATACACGCTGGGACGATTTTCAAAATTTAATTAATAAATTTGTACAAGAAGCTCGTAAATTAGATTATAACGTAAATAGAATAATAATTCTCCCAAGCACTTCAAGTACACCAAATGATACATTACAAAATTCATTACAAAGTTCATTACAAAGTTCATTACAAAGTTCATTACAAAGTTCATTTCAAAGTTCATTACAAAGTTCATTTCAAAGTTCATTACAAAGTTCATTTCAAAGTTCATTTCAAAGTTCAGAAATAAATTTGCGACATCTTACATATTTGGGATCAACTTCACTCATGGAAGAATTGGATCAAACTTATTCTCCGGAATTTCCGGGATTCACGACTACATTCCCTTCCTCAATCAACTATGAAGGATTAAGTAGCCAATTAAATTCGGTGCCTGATGTCTATACTTTAGATGATGATAAGAGCCAATGTTTTACAAACAACATATAAACTATGTTAGGTCGTTTCAAGTCGATTTTTAATTTATCGCCACTTCTACAGGCCGGCTAGAATGAATTTTAAAATATGATGCCAGAATAAGATCAACTTTAAACGACTTAATATGATTTTGTTCCGGATACTTTATGAACGATATTGTACCATATTTATATATATATATATTTTTTTTATTAGAACATTTAGAGTTTATAAACACTCAAGTTTTAGAATTAGATTCGCGCTGGTTAGCGGATATCAATATGTTCAATATGCAGGGTTTTTAATATAGTTACGTAATTTTGATAAGCGTAGATTGATGCACTTGGCATTCATTTATGGACATTCATTTACGGTCATTTATGGACATTCATTTATGGACATTTATTTATCGTTATCGTTATGGACATTCTTTTACGGACATTCATTTATGGAAAAATATTGTGGTTGAAATCTATATAAAGAATTCAATTTTGACTTTTTTTTTTTTTTTTTTTTTTTGTGATTGATTTTTTTTTCCCTTGTAAATGTTCAAATATTAGGTTGAACGTACAAAAACAACTGACACTGTAACATTGAGTTTACAATTATCTAAAATAGGCACATCGAAATTTGTTCACTTCTCTTTTAAAGCAAGATTGCTCTTTATTAATAAATAATATATAAAGTTGTAAGCATTAAATTTATGTTTCATATCTTAAATTCAGTTTAAAAACAAATGTTTATTAGACTGATTAAAAAAGAAAATTCACATGTTACGTCCTCTAATAAATAAATTGAAGTTTATTTTATGTTACCAGTTGGAAACAGGACTGGAGAGTACATACTATATATTAAAAATGAACAATTAAAGAATAATGCAAGGTACATACATACATATGTACAGTACGTACCTGGGCCTGGGTATTTTATGTTCCACATTATAAAAAAAAAAATTAATTTATACTCCGAATGGGTTGTATGGAAGTGAATACACTACACGGGTTATTATGTAATGGATGACTAAGTGTGCAGCATACGATTTTATTCCTTGAAATTAAACCAAGAATAAACTATATTAGTAACTGATATTCATATGTTTCATGCCGGTTTAGGTTCTAAAGTCAGGTCGAATCTGATACTTTCGTTAATCTTTTCGACAAAAAGTTCCTGGTACCATTCACGTCTTTTATGATTCCCAATTCACAAGAATCGTATCTTAATTTTTGTTTGATTTTCTCACAACGTCTGCAAGCTTTCGATTTCAAAAATTTCGTAGAATAAGAGTTGAAAGGATAAAAAAAATACATCTTTCAGATGGTTGATGGAATATATATATGTATATCTACACGCTAATATCGTAGTTAATACATTTTAAAAGTATGCACCATAATAATCAAAATTAGCATGTAAAGAATCCTCTTTCTTTTATTATTTATTTATTATAACGTTATAACTAATTGCAACATATTAATGTGCAACTAAGAAAGTTTTATCGATACAAAATGGAATACATATATCATAAAACAATGCAATAAAATAAGTAACAGCTCTAATGAAAGAATTAAGAATGATACACAGGGTTCTGCATGGGCTGGACTTATCTATGATCCGTGGATTGGTACCACATGGGCCGAGCTTGGTCTCAAAATTTTGGATCCAGTATAAGTTGATCAAGATCCAAAAGCTCATGCATATTCTGATTGACCAAATTATAGATGTCATCGTCGTTATCCTTATCATTGACGTCAAAATTACGAACTCGAGCTTACTGTATTTTAATAAATAAGCTTTTTAAAGTTTATGCCATGGCTGGGATTAGAACTATCCAATCAAATATGGGCTGTATCTGGACTTCCAAGTATCCAACCAAACTCGGCCCATGTGGAACTCTATATACAGTGAGTGGTGGTGCAAACGTAAATGATAGCGATAGTTTTAGAAGGCAACATCGCATTTAAAATTTTTAAGGACTGTCGGCGTAAATGCTAATCGTACTTTTAAATAGAATACAAATTTGATCGCTAAAATAATTGGAAAAATAGAACTTGGAAAAAATTTTTTTTTTCATAAAAATCTTAATCTTACTCTAATTTGCTAACATGAGACAACCTATAGTCGCAATTCACATGGTAACTGTGAAATATGCTATGCGACCTGAACTTTTGGGTCATCTTACCTAGTGTTGTTAGGCGAAACCTAGTTTCGACTTTCGCCAAAAAAAAATTAAAATGGCGAAATGGCGAAACTGGCGAAAGGTGGCGAAA